AGACAGCTGTCCAAGTTGTGAATGCCAGAAAGCATTTAAATATCAACATCTGTTGAATTATGTTAATGCAGTGTAATATAATTGGGCATGAGTTGGAATTGATCAAAAGTATATGAATTAGACAAAGGCAAACCTAAACCAATATTTCATTTCATAAACAAGTCAAAGGTAACAAAAAACTGTTTGTTAATAAACTAACAATGATAGCACAATGTTCAGGTCACTTAGATCCAAAATCTCAGAATATGGAGAAAAAGGCATTTTAAAAAACAATATAAATAATTCTTATAGAAATCACTAGTTTGCTAGCTCTGATGTGGGATTAATGTGTTTTTCTGAGACATTTATCATGTAAAATTCTATTTAAAACAATTTTTATTTTATGCTAAAGATCAGCTCAGAAGGACATATGGTTCAAATCCAGTGAAGTAAAAAAGGTTTTCATGACAGCATAGTTCCACCCACTGTTTCACAAAAATTCCAAGAAAACATTTTTCCTGTTCTTCCTGTAGTCTTCTGGAAAAGACTAATACAAGATTTTGAATTGCACAAATTGATATTTTAAGATAAAGACTTCAATATTTGATCCTCTCTGTAATGTTTTCTTTAAAATAATCTGTTTGAAGGATTTCCAAAATTAGATACTGTATGAATGAGGTTCACAATGAGTCTGTTTTTATCGAACTTTAATAGTGATTATGAAAAAATTATTTATCCTCTAAGAAGTAATTGTTGCAGAAAAATGAACAGCAGTTTGCCAGCAACCTGTTGTTAAGCTGAATATTGCTGTTGTTTAAACCTTATCAGTAAGAGTTGGACTGTTAAAAGTCTAGGAAATCTATACAGCTGTCTTGAGCAAAAGAAAGGATCAACTTTCACTGCTCTCTGAATTCATGAGAGAAAAAATATACATGGTATATTGATTCAACCTCCACCATAACCTGCTGAAAAGAAAACTCAAGGGCAGAGAAAGAAGCAGCAGTTTTGATTTTCTTCTGAGGTTCCAGCATAACTCTATTCCTCTTGCCCACCCCATGGGTTCCCCATATCCTGCTAGGGCCATACATGATTCCAGTTCTGGTTTAATTTTTTCTTTTCCAGTCTACAAGTTCTCAACCTGCCTCTCTATTTATTCTCAACATTTACTTTCCTTCCACTTGGATTTGGAACTATTCTGCCTCTGCATGGTTCTTTCTATGGGCAGGAAGAACATGAGTAGGTCTAGATTTCTTTTCTTTAAAAACAAAATCAAATAAACCATCCAGACGTATTGCTATTAAAGAGTTATGTGCTCATGTTGGATACAATCAGTGTTCACCTTATTGGCACTGTCATTATTCTCCACAAAAGCCACATTAAACAATTATAGTTCTGGTAATTAACCAGTAAGTATAATGTACAGTTTTTCTACCCCAATCTATTAACAGCTGCTGAAAAAATGTAGTAATTAATGGTTTCATTTATTTTTGGCAAACCTGCAACACAACAAATAATTTTCTATCAACTGCACATTAGGACTCCTTCCCAAACAACAGATGACATGGTGGGAAAATGGTAGCGGGCAAAACACTTGCACATCTTTGCCTCTTTAGAAGATCAAATAAAGAGCAGCTGTAATTCTATTTGTCACATCTGCGTAACAAAATATTGTCATCTGTATCATCAGAAGGAAAATGAACAAGCTCTGTTCAGGTGGGACAAAGCTTCCTTGCTAAAGGCCTAATGGAAGTTTTTGTCCTCAGCTGCCTCAGTGGTAGCTTTTCTCACCCACATTTTTAATTACTTGCAGTTATTAGTTACTGTTGATACTAAAATTAATCGCATAATGATACAACTCCAGATATCATCAAATTATTATTGAGATCAACCAGCCTGGAAGTTATCAAAAGAAAATGAGAACATACAAGATGTATTTAAATGAAACCCTTGAAAGAGTACACATTTAAATTAATCCTCCATTTTCACACTGTATCACTCAGCATTCTCACTGCAGTAGTTCTGAGAGACTCCTAAGAGTTAATGTTTGAAAAACAACTGTTCTGCTTTAAGAATTGATCCTCTCGATAAGAAATGTACTCCTTTCACACTGTAACTCTATTTTCTAAAATAGTAACTAAAAATAAACAAAAAACAAGGATGGCAATTGTACTTGAAAGGCTTCTGAAAAATGGTGGTAAGCAAAGAAAAAAATTTTTTTTTAACTGGGAAGAGAGCAACAGCTCATTTTAAAGCTAGGTGTTGATGCTTATAGGCTCCAGAAACACTATCACAGCTGTGAAAATAACAACAATAAATAGAACCTAATCATGCCTCTTTCTTGTACATACATAGATAAAGAGAAAAGGCATTTTATTTCACATGCACCATGTCTCATCCGGTCCTGAGATCCTGATGGCCAACTATGTTCGGTATTTTCTGTATCCAGCTGATTAACACTTTCAGACCTCTCCTAAAACTCCTGTGGCAGAGAGGCAGTAACAGTGACCACTCTGATTGGTCCTCATTAATGCAAGACCGATAAGACATGCACAAACACTCAATATCTCTTTCTGCATCTATATCCGCTAATAGGTACATTTTGGCCTGGGAATTAAATACTATTTAAATTATAAGCTACAAAGAGTTTTGTATCACCTTGAAGAGTAAATAATTTTTATTTGATATATGCTTTCATGGATTGCAGGCTACTGCATCAGAGGCACAGAATAAAACCTTAGTACACTGACATTTATACAAGACCAAGAAGGTGGAATCTGAAAAGCTGAAGGCTGACAACACAGTGATGTTGCTAAGAGTTGTTCTTAAGAGTTGTGAGTATGACAAGCACATACAAGCAGATTAATACATGTATGGTGGATCAAATGAAAAAGAATTCATTTGAAATATGGTATTGGAGGAGAACTTTATGGATACGACTGATTGCCAGAAAGATTAGCAAGTGTTTATTAAGTAAAATAAGGTCTTAACTCTCTCTAGAAGCAAAAAACCAAATAATCCAAGGTTATCATACTTTGGGGCATGTAACAAGAACACAAGACTCACTGGGAAAAAAAAGGCAATAATGCTGGGAAAATTTGACAGCAGCAGGACAAGAGGAAGATCAAACATGAGATGGATTGACTCAATGAAAGAAACCAAAAGCTGAGGAGCATGGCTGTTAACAATAGGAGCATTTTGGAGGTCACTAATTGGTAAAGTCATCTTAGGTTGGAAGGGATCTGACAGCACACAACAACAATGGTGGAGATTTTTTAAAAATCAAAGTCAAAGAATAGTTTAGGCCATAGATACACATGTTTGGTGAAGGACTGAAATCAGAAGGATTAGAAGAACTAAGATGGCAAAAATTACAAGTAGGAAAAATTACCATAAACAAAACTTGTTATAAACAGATGTTAGACGGCCAAGCCAAAACTGCATAAGTAATCTGATTAATAGGTAAGATAAAGAGTCATTCTTCCTATTTACAAGACAGATGCATTATTGTTCACTTGTTTCATTTTGGAATCTCTCTCTTTGAAACTTTTTTTGTTGAAGGACAGACACCCTGACATCAGAAACAAAGTTTAAAATGCAGCAAGAGGCAGATCTGGAGAGTATGCCTAAAACATTATTAAATATATTTCTAACTCATCTTTTTTCAGAACTTTACCATAAATTTCAATGTTCTAAGTATGATCTGAACAATTTATTGGTATCTAAAGCAGAATTTGCATTAGTGTATTTGTGATAGATGTATTGGGAGAACGAAGAGAGACCTGGTTGATTACTAACAAACAGATATAAAAATTAAAAATCAACATAAAAATCCTAATTATATTCTATTGATGAATGGCACAGCGAATAATCTATGCATTACACAAAACACATTAATTTGGATTTTCAAGTGTTTGTTGTGCTATCCTGTTCTACATTCTTCTAAGTTATTTTTAAAAAATTAACAGTGCATCCAGGAGATTTATACAGGTTTGTGTGCGGGGGAAGGGAGGGTGGGCTTCATCCCCTACTTTTTCGTTAAAGAAAATGCAGCTGACAATTTTGAAGGTGGCAACTATCTCTGTTGCCATTGTCTGTTGTCCTTAATGAGTAATCTTTCAGGCTGAGTGACTCTGTCTCATCCAAGATCATAACACAAAAATGAAATTGTCTAGGATAGTCTGAAAATGGCTGATAATACATTTGAAACGTTTTAGTTGGGAAATGCCAGGTGCCAACAATCGGTGTTCTGTTGTTAGCTGAGTTTGTCTTACAGAACACTGTTCCTGTGTTCCTGGGTACCAATCTGGAGTCCTGTTAATTTGCATACTGACTTCAGTGGATGGTTCCTACAGTCTGAGAAATGCCATGTTTAAATCCTCAATCCGAGAGTCTCTTTCTGAAGGGTCTGAACAGAGGCTTGGTTGCAGACAATGGAATTTGTTTGCTGATTAGAAGATGGAAACGTATTCATGTGCATAGCTGTGTTTTCGTTTTTGGTATAAGGTACAGTAGTGCTTATCCATCTATTATGTAGTTGCACATTGGCATCCGAACAAGTAACTTTGAGGCACTAACTTGGGTAGGATGAGTCTGATGGTGAAATAGGAGCTATTAGATTTCTGGTAAAATTTCATTGATGCATTTCCCCCCCCCCCAATTAATCCAGACAAAAAATACGTCACTAATAAATACAAGACAGAGGACAAGAACAGAGGAATACCAATGTCTCTGAAACACCACCAATGAATGACCATGACCACTATTAAGATAATCCACATTGGTGGCACTTTTTGTATTTTGACTGCATTATGCACATCCTGCCAGCAACCCCGCCTGCCCTTTGTGGCTTCACTTGTTACATCTGAAGTAGTGCCAGAGAATATCTTACATCTCATGAACTGATGCTATCTGATGCCAAATAAAACGTATTAGTCTTTAATATGCCACAAGACTCTTTGATACTATTACTAACATGCAACTTCTCCATAAAACATAACATTTACTGCATATTATAAACTCACCTGCTTGCTGTTTTCACTGAGCTGTTTTTCTTGTGTCCTCTTTCTGATCGGTTGTCCCGGAGGAGTTGAAGCTACACAAAACAAAATTTCAACTTCAGCCAGATGCAATGGCAAGCTAGATTTCGCAAGAATTCTAGTCTACTGTGAACAAGCTGCAACTGATGTACGCAGTTGTTTGAACTGGAATTTCTGGTTTGTAGCGTTAGTTATAAACCAGAATCATGAGACCAATGGTTTGTTTTTGGATTATGATTTCTGTTTGTCATCAAACAAAATTGAAGCCCGGGTTTAGAAAATACTGATAGCTTTGTTTCTAGCTTATTTAGCTATTTCCAATAGTGGAAGGAGCAAAATTGAGTCATTCTCTCTTATGACAGATAATATACAGCATCTGGAAAAGAGTCTCCCTCTGTGGCTACCTTGAGTAACTGACGTATCTATCCCACTGCTTTATCATATTTCTGGACTATGCTATTATGTAACATACTTCATGAAGATATTAGTAGCACTATTAGTCACTACTGAATTCAAGTAAGATTTCAGAGTTCTGAACAAGAACAACAATGGACATTCCCCAACTATCTTGAGTTTATTCACTGATCAGGATACTGGATTTTAAAATTAGCTGAAAACGACCTATAATAACTTTATAACTAAAACTGAAATTCCAGCACTCCACAGTTGAAGGCTGCATACTAGACAGGATGGCTTGTTGCTTCCCTGTCTACTGGTCCATGACACTGATAAGGAGAGCTACCAGTGAGTGTGGGGTATTTCTCTGCAGTGCTACTTTGCTGTACTTGGTCAAATAGTAGGTTGTGGCCAAATGGAACATTCCATGGGCAAGGAAGAGCTGACTTGGGATATGCTGCATCCAAAGCAGCAACAACAGCTAAATATACTATTAAAAGAGAATCTAATCTCTAAAGGGCGATTTGGATCATTGTCTTATCAGAAATTGAGTAGAAAATAATACATTAGCCAAGTGCAATGATCTATCTCTATCACGCATTATGTGACTTTTCCATCAAATAATTTCTAGATACAATATTAATTCCATGTGGGCCATGCAATTTAATGTTGCTGCTTTTAAAGTGAATGATTTGCACTTTCTGTTTAATTGTTAACAGCTAAGTAGATTGCCTATGTCAGGGAGGTGGAAGATGGTGCCCTTGCCGCTTGTTTGCACCTAAACTCAACTTGTGCATTTGTATTGTAAGAAGTTCCCTGTCTCGTTCATACTAAAATGCTTGCCAGAAGCTTCATTTTTGTTATTTTTGTTTGTGTCTCTGTTTTATATCTCTAATAACCCAGATGACTGAACACATGTCTATTTGAAAAATGATCAGTCATGTTATTCTATGAACACAGATTCCTTTATCAATTGAGTGTGAGGTTATTAAAACTGTAAACAACATCAGCCTTATAATTTACTTTGTGTCGGTTCACCAGGGCAAGCACGGCATAGGCTGAAAGGACATGATGGAGTAAGCATGCTGAAACTGAATTGATCTGGGTCTTATCAATGCTGGGAAAGGAGACCACCTGAGAACTTGTGCATATGGCACTGAGCTCCATTGAGAAATTGCCCCTGATTCGTATACTCTAAAGCAGGTATCTTCTGATATAACACTGTATTTGTTTGCGAATTATGAGTAAAGGAACACAAAAAGAAAAAATTTATCCCTCCTATTACTTTATGATGCTCAAGAGAGATACGGATAGCATTTGATTAGCTCTGCTGAAGGATGAGCAACCATAATTCCCCTGACTATTTCTGACTGCTCGCTGTATATTTATGAAATGGTACCAGGATTTGCTTTTTCTCTACTCTTACCACCCACTTTCTCGTTTTTGCTTCATTATTTTTAGACCAGAAGCCTATTTGGAGGCCTGTGTATGGACTACTGGACCCTTCACAAGAAGCAGATGTTGACTCTGTGCTTCATTGTATGTACTGGATAATGGACTCTCCATGAGTTACACTTGACTGAAGCTCCTGCTATCTGGCTTTCATCTTTGCACTTGACAAGAAGTGTGGAATTACCCACTGAAACCAGAATGTGTATGCATTCAATATTCTTACTGCAAGTTAATTGTGTCAGCAGTGCTACTGTCACCTTCCTAATCCATTTCCTCTGTCTGTACTGAATATAACTTGTTGTTTTGCTTCACTCCAACACATCTGAAGAAGTGGATGTATCCATGAAACTCCACACTGAAATATAATAGGGTCTTTAAGTGCAACATACATTTCTGATTTTTTAATTTTTGTTTTTACATGAGTACCTATTTTTTAAATAAGCAATTCCTAGGTTATGAAATAAGGTTTCACAAGACACGTTTTCTCAAAAGACGAACAAGAATTCAGGGTGAGATTAACAAATCCCAGAGACTTTTGCTTGCTTCAGATGTTATCTCTCCACATATGGAGGGGAAGCAGTCCCACTCCCACCAATGTGTCCATCTCTGTCAACTCTACACAACTTCAATAGGAAAGTCTGGAGGGAGCATCTTTGCATGTCATCTGAACATATTTCCATCTGTGTGTGCATGTATAAAATCCATTCAGCCTAAATGCAAAAACCAGAGTTGAACAGGACAAAGGTGGTGCACATGGCCTTGGTAACTCTTCATGCGTTCTTTGAATATGTGGGGAATAACTTTGTAAGGTGTACGAACTGTTAAGCCCAATTTGAGCTCTACTGGGTATATATCTCAATCTCTCCTTATGTGCTGCAGTATCTTAGAAGTAATTAAGGGTGCTGATGATTGCAGAAATGCAATACCTTTCCCACCAAGTGTTCATATCAGGTGATATGCTTTAAAATATTTTCAGGAGATATAAGGTGATATTGTGTTTCTTGGTGCCCCTATTGGTTCAGACAAGTGACAGTTAAATTTCTTCAACTATCTGAAATAAACCATTCTTGATCAAAGTAGTTCTTACCTGACTGTGTTCCTTCCTAGCCCCAGGGCTAAACCAATGGCTATGGGAAGAAAAAAAAAGGTTAGTAATGTAGGTAACCGAAGCATGAGCTGTCATATGACCAGCCTGAGCGTGCTCTCGGGTATTTTATTGTCCACCAGAAAAATGTAGCCTTTGGCTATGATTTATTTAAATGGGATATTTTACAGAACTCTCAAGGTCTGTAGCAGTATTCACAGAAATGTATCTCACTCCACAGATTTCTGCTGCTTAAGCAAGTGTAGTATATACCAAATCAATTTGGAAAAGCTTCATGCCAGAGATTCTGCAATTCTTTATAAGGTACATTGTTTTGATAATATTTTCACCATATATGTGCTACTAAAATCTAACATCCTGATTCTCATGCAATGGAAACTATCAGAAGTTAACAGGAACATGTTTACTCATTATTAGCATTTGACTTTAAGGCTTGTGCTCTGTTAAACACATCCAAAGATACAGTTTACAGTGTAATCCTACGGCCATTTTCTCAGCCTAAAGGCTCCCTGTGTTCAATGATATCTGATAATACTGCAGTTCACAAATGAGGAGTGTTTGAACAGTTTTTCCTGATAGACTACTGGGTCATTTGGAGTGTTCTTACTGTCCACCAGTCTCAGGATCATGCTGCTTCAGGTGGCCTCAAACACTAACTGCAATAAGCAATGTAAACCAGAGGAAACAGAACCCAATACAGGAAATCAGAGCTTCAGGAAGAAGGAAGAGAGGCTGTTTAGGGTTTTAATCCAAGTTTACTGTTAATCAGTTGACATGCATCTATTAGCATCAACACTGCTTTGTGAATGGTTACTTCACAAATCTAAATACTTTTAAGTTTTCTGTAACTGTCACACTCTGTACGCATGACACTGAATCCCCTCCCACATCTTAATACATGTCTGTAACTGTCAACTCAGGATAATCTTTCATGCTTCTGAAGAATTGGACTGCAGTCCATGAAAGAATTTACAGTTGTGTTCAAAATTATTCAACCCCTAATGCTGTAAAGGGGTTTAGGGACTATAGTGTACATTTGGAATTGTATTCAGAATGAAATCCTACAAGGACGTTTTAAAGAACCAAATGCAACTAAAATAACATCAATTGTTTATGTAATACAGTCGTAAATGTTTCTTTTGTGGTTTCTTCATTGCCACAATTATTCAACCCCTTAAAGACTACCACTCTGAAGAAGAGAGGTTCATTCAGGTGTTTTCGATCAGGTATTTAAAACACCTGTATCTTAATAAATGTATTGTCTCTAAGGTTGCAAAATACTTTCTTGAATTTTTCAAAGCAGCTCACGTATCTCTCCCTTTTCCATGTGCCTCTACTCCGTTATGTAACCCCATAGGTCTTAAGCTACACTCATGCAACATAATGAAATAATAAAGCAGTTAAGGGGAGACACTTGGCAGCTAAGGTCTCCTTTTTCTTTCTTGTTCCACTTCTGGCTTTGTGTGAACAATGCAAAACAAGTAATACGCACAATGCTACAGTACATTGAAAGTTTTTTTGGAATTTATCCACAAATGTCTTTCCAGACAAAAGAATTAAAAAGAATTGCACATGCATATGATCAAAAATCAGATCTGTGTTGATAGAATGGACATTTATTTATTTACAGTGGTGCCTCGCATAGCGAGGTTAATCCGTTCTGGATTAACCTTCGCTATGGCGAAACAACGCTGAGCAGGACGGGAAAGCCCATTGGAATGCATTAAACATCATTTAATGCGTTCCAAATGGGCAAAAACTCACCGTTCAGCGATGCATCCCGGTCCGGCAGCCATTTTCGCGCCCTCGGTAAGCGAGGGCAGGGCGCGAAAACACTGCGTGCGGCCATTTTGGGGCTTCCGGTGGCCATTTTGAAACCGCCGAACAGCTGATCCGTGGCTTCGTTTTGCGAAGATCGGTAACCGAAACGCTTACCGATCTTCGCAAAGCGATTTTCGGCCATAGGGGCCATCGGTAAGCGATCGCATTAGCGGTCAAAAAAAATGGATCGCTATGCGATTTCGTTATTATACGGTGCGCTCGTTGAGCGAGGCACCACTGTATTTATTTATTTATTTATTTATTTATTTATTTATTTATCTATTTATTTATTTATTTATCTATTTATTTATTTAGCTTATATGCTGCCCATTTAGACATAGTCTACTCTAGGCGGCTCACAAACACATAATAAGAACAATCAATATAAGGTAACGGTTCCCGACATTAACTCAAAACAGAATAGATAAAGAGAATTACGTAGAGTCTGGAGGGAAGGCCTGTCTATATAACCAGGTCTTGAGTTGGTTTTTGAAAATGTCCAGCGAGGGGGCCAGATGAATCTTGTTGGGGAGTGTGTTCCAAAGCCTGGGAGCCACTGCCGAGAAGGCCCGGTGTCTTGTTTTTTCTTTTTAAAATGCTGCAAATTGGTTGGGTGATATACTAGAGGGAGGCCTGTCACATCGACCAATTCCGGATAGGTCCCAGACTATACGGAAAACTTCCACCTGGTGATTTGAAGACTCACTTATCCGGTTAGCGAGGTGAGCTCAACTAGCAGCCCTTATCTTGGCAAGATAACGGTTAGTTGTGACCCTAACAGTTACCTTATTGTGATCTGTCGGTTTAAATTAAAATAAAATTCAACTTGTAATTAAAACAGGGACAAATTTAATGTAAGGAGAAGATATTATATTATGATGACACAGATATGGATACTTACTCATGATGATGAGACTCTTGGGACAAGTGTACAGTTTTCTTGTTGCTGCATGAGCCTGGAGTAGTAATCTAAAAGAAGAATAAGGAAGTTTTACAAGTTGTGTAGAGGAATTTAAGCACACACAACAGTTACTGTATGGAAAATATGGAGACTCTTGCAGAGTGCGGGCAGCATACAAGTCGAATGGATCAATCAATCAGTCAGTCAGTCAGTCAGTCAATCAATCAATCAATCAATCAAATACCTATTTTCCAATACTCCAACCATTTGATAAGCTCCATAATGTAAAGAAGCTATTTATTAATTGTTACCCATAAATATGGGGAAAGTCATAATTATGAGAACTTGTCAGGTATTGAGAAAATAGTTCATATGAAATTGTGAGCAGGAACAGAATTCTAGCCATGCTCCCTGCCTGTCACTGTCTCTATCTGGAGAAGGACAACCTGGAGAGGACCCATGGAATTTCTCCATTCAATCAGCAACCAAGTTTTCTAATAATATGTAGAAGCTTCCTTGTTCAAGTAGTCATTCTTTCCATGGAGAAAGTGACAGGTGGGAAGGGAATTATAATCTCTCCCTGCTCATGCTTTCAAACTAACCGTTTCTTGAATGCCTGGAACAGGGCTATTGCTTTTCATTCTGTGATCCAGATGCTGAATTCAAAGTACAATTAAGCAAATAAAGTCAGATGTCAACTTGCATTAAAGGTAACGTTTGGGCGATTATGTCCATTCATTAGTTCCCTAGAACTCCTCCTTTTCTAGATTTTTAAAGAATTCTCATGAGTTATAGCATCTTTATTGAGTCTTTACCACTGACTCAGGAACATTTTGGACTCTTTACAGTTTAAAACAGTGTGAAGTACAATATTTATGTAATTTTCAGGCAATGATAGAAACATTTTATCCTATAGAATTGGTAGGAAAAATGGCAGGAAGTACAGTACAAAAATAGTGGAACTAGAAGACTGAAAAGGGCAGATTGCTTTAAGGGCCATCTACCAGTCTCCCTCAGACTTTTGAGCTTTGGATGCCACACAGTAGCTCCTCAGGATGCACTATTTATTCACAACCAGAATAACCTCCCATGACACTCATATCATTATCTTCCCATCTGTTCAATCTATACACAGAACATAACATATAAACAACTGGATTAAATTCAAATGAAGGCAGTACGAGCACTGGCAGAACAAACAAGTAATTTAACATATATAGATGATACGATATTACTGACAGAAAAAGCAATGACTTAAAATGATACTGATGAAGGTGAAAGGAAAAAGTGTTAAAGCAAGATTACAGTTCAATATTAAGAGAAAAATCATATCTACAGAAGAAAAATACATAATGTTAAAAATAAAAAATGAATTTATTAATTTTTTGGTCATTAATTCATAGAATCACTATCACTCAGATGTAACTTATTGGAACCTAATAACATAAAAATGATAAAAAATAACTAAACATGTGAAAAATAAATTTGGCATTCCAAAGTAATTTGGAAGAAATACAGAGATAATGGATTTATTTGTGAAATGAAGTTTGCAAACAATGATTAATTTTAAAAAAATACATATTGTTTTTTAAAAACCAGATGACTAGGGCATCAAAGCACAACAAGAAAATCCAGAAAAGGTAATGAAATATAGCCATTGTGATATGGTGAGCCCAAAGAAGACACTAATGCTCTCCTGCTGTAGCAGAAGCAGACATTTTAGGTGGTGAAGCTCCTCAATTTAATAGAAGTCTGAGAAAAGGTGTTCAATGGAAATCTGCCATGCAAATTAAGCACTATGAAACACAACTGCTATATTATTATTATTGCTATTAAAAGGCAAGACATTTTGTATTGTACATCACCTTCTATACATACTTAGACATGTACTAGGAGGGATGAGCAGAATGAACATAACAGTAATTTGCACATGCAATAGCACTTTTTATTGCACCAAATAATGCTTGCTATGAAATCTAAGTGCACATATATGCAGTTGTTTTCTACAGCTAACTACGTATGGGCTGCATTTCTCCTACAAACAGTTTTCTCCAGTGTCTGACATACAGTATGTAAAGGAATCTGAACTGGGACAGGACATAACCCATGTGTGGGCTAGCAGTCTCTACTGATTTGAATCCAATGATTTACAAAGTATGCTTCAGCATTTCTTCTAAGATACACTTACGTTATCTTAACATCATAAAGGATTCACTGGTAAAGGTTTCTTATGGTTTACTACATAAGTAGGCAGCCTTGTGACCTCTGGGTCACTGACCGTGTTGGCTAAGGCTTATGTAGTCAAAATTATCTGTGGAGAATCACAGCATGTTATCTAATGATATCACTGTAGTAATGCAAATTCTGCTGTGCTAGTGGTTGCGCATTTTTATAGGTAACACAAATGTGACATCCAATACCATTATTATTGTGTAATGTGGCAAAAAATGTGACTGTCCCCATCTTTCATGTCATGTTGCTGCTTATTGTGGGCAGGTAAGAGCTATGGTACTTGTTTTAAGAGGTTAATATCAGGCATTCCCCTAGCCTGGCTTTCCATGAAGTCATTCTTGTGCTAATGATGTTTATGCTGCATCTCTATGAACTGGATTTTCTTTATTAGGTATCTTGCTAAAGAGTGTTCCTGATGCTTTCTTAGGAGAAGAGGTCTGACATCTCCCAGGAGGGGAGGTTACCTGCCTTTGCTGTTTGCTCCCAGCTTTTAGCATGCAGCTTCAATAAGGTAAATCTAGTTTACAAAAATTCATAAGTAGCCCACTTGGCTTCAGCCTTCTTTGAGTAAGGAGCTGACTAAGTAGTTAAGAAATTTTGCACCTCAGAGAATGACTCCTGCTGGGCCACGGAATCCCACACAGCACCTTGCCAGAATGTGTGAGCTTACTTTGTAATGAGACCTTGTTCATCATCAAGTACCGTATTTTTTGCTCCATAAGACGCACCTGACCTTAAGACACACATAATTTTGAGAAGAGGAAAACAGGGGAAATATATTCTGAACCAAATAGTGTAATAAAATATTTAATAAACTATAACAAAATAACATTTGAACCATGTAAAGTGAACAACAGTCAACAGTGGCATTAAGACCCTCTACCACTGTGATTAACAAATGGAGAGACTAAGCTTTGTGTACTCTAGTTTATGTACCATAAACTTAATTCAAGTACATATAGACCATTATCAGCCAGTGATAAGACCTATACCACTCTACCCATATTTTACATTTCCTTTCATCCACCTCCTTCCCATGCTTACAGAAATGTCTCAATGACATAAGATTGCTGTGCAACTCTGCCCAGCTACAGCTCAAGCCTATATTAAGTTAGAAATGGTTTGTCTGATTTGGCACTGCACTGAGAGGTCCCTTTTAGTTGTGTGGAGGATAAATAGTGGAATTAAACTATTTAACAGCTGGTTTTCCTTATTTACTTTAGGTTATGCAAAAGAACAGCAACACAAAGCTTAACCTGATCCCATTCACCAGCAGTAGCACATGCTCAGCATAAGACCACATCTCAATTTTCTGACATAATTGAATGTTTATAGCATGTGAGGCACAACAGGTTAGGCCACACAAAGCCATGAAGAATGTTCTTGATGAGCCAAAAAAAACTGAATACAAACTATAGTAGCTGAAACACTTACCAGGTACTGTAGACTGAGCCTTGCTCTTCACAGTGCCTTGGTAGACCCCAGAACAGCCAAAAAAGAGCCTCAAACAGCTGAAAGCCAGCAGGCAGCTGGCAGACGGCAGCCATTTTGTGCTCTTCTCCGCTCCTGCTCCTGCTCCTGCTCCTTTCCCTCTCCCCACCTAACAGCTGATAGGCCCTGGTCTGAATGGCTTCCCAGGCAGCTTTTAAAGCAACTACTGGTATGCACGTTTCTACACAAGCAGGTTTCAACTCAAATGGAGCACCCATTCACCCAAGCACTAACCCCAAACAAACAGCTTTTAAACTAAATTTTACATTTTTAAACGATAATACCAGGCAGCCCCAGGTCTCTCTCCCAGCTCTCTAACTGCTTGGACTAGCAAGGAAGCAGACAAGCAGCCTCTTCAATAACGGAAAGTTTGAATTTCGCTTTCCCTGCCTTCCCTGCATATTAGGTATGCTAATATCTGTGTACTGGAGGATTGTGGGAGGAACATCCAGCCCCTGATGGGGGTCCTGTGGGGCACCCCAAAACACTGACGAGCTCTCTTGGACTGGGGCTGTGCAGCCCTGTTCTGATCAGGAGGTGCAGCCGGGGGGTCACCATGTCTTTGGGGGACAGGGCACAGAAAGGGGCAGGAGGTTCAGGGGCCATTCCAACTCATACCTGGCAGGGGAGATACCATGATCATCAAAGTGGTTTTCCCAGAGTGAGGCTCATCTATTGCACTTTGGATGTGCTGACCCCTGTGACTTCCCAAAATGTGGGAAAATCAACTGCCTAAGTGGGGGACTGTGTTTGTGGTTTCCTCTGGTCTTTCTAGAATCACTCTTTCCCCTTTGGTCCTTGGCTGTTTTCACTGCCTGCTGCCATAGGCCTGTTAGCCTTGCTGGTTTTCCAGGTGGACACCAGGAAGCAGATCCTGGAAAGCCAGCAGTGCAGAATGATGACGTCCAAACAGCCAGTTCAGAGGCCTCCCAGCATGGCAGTGGGAGGCTTCTGGGTGGTGGTGGTTGAACCCTTTTTTTACTGTATTCGCTCCATAAGATGCACATTATTTGGGGGGGGGAAGTGAGTCTTATGGAGTGAAAAATACAGTATTTGTGAGGCCTTGTTCAAAAATCAAAATCAAGGAAACAAACTGCACAACCACTTATGTAACAGATTGAGCAACTGGTTGTAAAACCACGTGCACAATGGTATCATTCAGCACAACTACAGGGGATTTCCACTCAATTAACATTATGCTGCATTTAGGCCAAAGTCGCCTGGTCTGGTGTAAGCATCTGCCATTGAGCACAGGAATACACACAAAATGCCTTCTCATACGGCATGTCAAAAAGTTTGGTTACATCCTAGCACACAATACTTCAAATTCTACTAGAAAAGAAAT